ATGGTGAGCGATTGACTATATTCTGAGATATTTTCTTCTATCTTCGAAGTTACCAAATCGGTTCTCGAATTGGCTATTCTATGATTGTCTTAATGTATTTAACTTGAGTTCATAAAGATATTACAATAATATTCCTAATTTCTAAATGTAAGAACGAAAAAATGCAGTTTAAAATTTTGCTTTTCTAATGTTATTTAAATTACTTATTTGTAGGCCTGTAAATAAAAGATTAATTCAAAATTTTAGGTTATGTTCACTGTGATACCTAAATGATTTATCATCAATGTGTTATTTACTACGTCTTATACTTTTTACTGTTTACTAAAAATAGAATATTACATACTTCCTAAAACATAATATTAAAACGCAAATTTTAAAATATTTCAAGGGAAATTTATTTTATTATTATTATTATTTATTACGGTCTAAATTGTCTCTTAGCTTCTAAGTAGTGGTAGGTAGTATTGCTCAAAATATATATGTTTTACTTTCAGGTGTACAATGGCACAAATACAAAATATATAATATTCTTGATGGACAACCCTGTATTAGAACTAAGAGTATACCTACAACAAAGCCCAAAATTGTACAATGTTCACTATTACATTTTGTACAGCAATTTTTGTACAATGTCAATATTTGTTACCTTTGATGAACAGCGTTGTTTGGCCAATGTCAGTCTGTAAAGATGAAAACTTAACCAATCAACCAACCCAATCAATATTTAGAACCAACAAAATTGAAAACCAAGAATTAAAAGTTGAAATTTACAAATACTAAAAAAGGACATAGGTAGTAAAAGTTTGAAACATTATATGAATGTACATATAATAATATATTATAAACGCTTTAAAATTATTAATTGTTTGAAACTCTATATTAACTATGTGGATATAAAAACAACTTTGTTGTTGTTGTTGGAGCATAAAGCAATAAAATATTCTCCGTGGGATTTGTTATGAAGGGATGATGGGACTATATGGCATAGCTTTTATATACCTTTTTGAGTTGTGTGGTACCGGGTGTTCACCTTGAAAATATGTCTATGGCGATTTTCTCTCGAAAAAAGGCTCGAGACGAGACGAGAGAATGCCCTCTCTCGCTCGAGAATTTCTCGTTTCTCTCGATCTCTCTCGTTCTCTCGATTATAAAGAATAATTTTTTTTTACATAAAAATTATAATTTTGCACATAAATGACGATATTTATTTGGACCAATGAGAACATTATTCGCATTTCATAATAAACAAAATTTGTTCCTGGTTAACGTTTTATTATTTTATAACACAACTTAACGTTAACCAAGAAAAAATTACTTATAAAATAATAATAATTTTTAAAATTTACCCTGTATAAGCACATCTATGGCACTCCTTATACTATTAAAAAAACCCGTATGCTTAATAAGCATTGCTTATTCAATAAACTTATCAACAACATGTGGTTTTTGGGGCCTGATTACAAATTTGATATCCATTTTTTTAATAAAATGGCTGATCCAATATGACGAAAATTCGTCGTTCGGCTTTAATGGTTTGGGTAAAATTTAGTATTCAGATATTTATGGGGTCCCTGATTCAGAATTTGATATCCATTAAAAAAAACAAAATTGCGGATTCAAAATGACGGACTTGCGCAGTAGGTACAAGATGGTTGGATCTATGTGGAGTAGTTACATCATATATGCGCAGTAGTTTTCAGATGGATGGATCAAATGATTTGATCCATTGAAAACTACTGCGCCGATACAGGCTGTTTCTTTTAACTTGAGACAGCTCAATATCTCGAGAAATAGGCATTTTACGGGAAAATGTTTTAAATAAAAGGTTAATGTGACCAAAGGGGACATTATTTGGTGCTACCGCTAGCCACCCCCTATCCCTCCTTAAGGGTGAAACGGGGGGTAACTTTGGAGAGTCAAATGGGATAACCCTTTTTTTACAGATTTTGGTAGTACATAAAAAAATTAATAACTTTTTTTTAAACTTTTTTAAATTTATCAACAGATGGCGCTGTAATTCAAAATTTAAGAAAAATGGGTTTCCCTGTAAAATGTATTATTTGAAACGTCTGAAAAACAAAAATTAACATTAAATCAACAATAGTCGGCTCTGAAAACAATTTATAACAAATGTTCGAAATGTCGTCCTTCCATTTCGACACCAGCGTCCCTGGTCGGTAAACGTTTGGTGCGGTACCTTTGGCGAACGGCATTTAATGGTGAAAATTACCGGAATTTTCTAGAAAACGATCTGTCAGACTTCTTCCTGTGGGGTTACTTGAAAGAAAAAGTTTACCCTTCAATTCCTACAACTCGGGAGGACATGGTGGAGCCAGAATTCATTACCCGCATTCAAAAATGTGTCGAAATGAAAGGATGACATTTTGAACATTTGTTATAAATTGTTTTCAGAGCCGACTATTGTTGATTTAATGTTAATTTTTGTTTTTCAAACGTTTCAAATAATACATTTTACAAGGAAACACAATTTTCTTAAATTTTGAATTACAGCGCCATCTGTTGATAAATTGAAAAAAAAGTTCCAAATAAAAGTTATTCATTTTTTTATGTACTACCAAAATCTATGAAAAAATCGGGTCATTTCATTTGACTTTATAAAGTTACCCCCCGTTTCACCCTTAAGGAGGGGTGGGGGTGGCTAGCGGTAGCACCAAATAATGTCCCTTTTGGTCACATTAACCTTTTATTTAAGACATTTTTCTGTAAAATGCGTATTTCACGAGATATCGAGCTGTCTCAAGTTAAAAGAAACACCTATTATAGGTGTATAATACTAGATGTAACTACTCCACATAGATCCAACCATTTGATTCAAATGCGCAACATTTTCGGCGGGAGGACATGGTGGAGCCAGAATTCATTACCCGCATTCAAAAATGTGTCGAAATGAAAGGATGACATTTTGAACATTTGTTATAAATTGTTTTCAGAGCCGACTATTGTTGATTTAATGTTAATTTTTGTTTTTCAAACGTTTCAAATAATACATTTTACAAGGAAACACAATTTTCTTAAATTTTGAATTACAGCGCCATCTGTTGATAAATTGAAAAAAAAGTTTCAAATAAAAGTTATTCATTTTTTTATGTACTACCAAAATCTATGAAAAAATCGGGTCATTTCATTTGACTTTATAAAGTTACCCCCCGTTTCACCCTTAAGGAGGGGTGGGGGTGGCTAGCGGTAGCACCAAATAATGTCCCTTTTGGTCACATTAACCTTTTATTTAAGACATTTTTCTGTAAAATGCGTATTTCACGAGATATCGAGCTGTCTCAAGTTAAAAGAAACACCTATTATAGGTGTATAATACTAGATGTAACTACTCCACATAGATCCAACCATTTGATTCAAATGCGCAACATTTTCGGCGTAAAAAGTCTTACTTTATTAGTGTGGTCTTGGCACACATTTCCAGTTTAAATTTCTATATAAAAAAATATAAACGAATTTGTATTTCATTCCAAATAATTTTTGTATTCATACTTAGGTACTTTTACCACGAGAGAAACGAGACGAGGACGAGAGAAAGGCACTCTCGAGCGAGAAAAGAGTATTCTCGACGAGACGAGAGACCCATTTTCTCTCGCTGCACGAGACGAGACGAGAGAAGGACTTTTCTCGTCTCGTCTCGTCTCGCGGCATCACTAATCCAAAATGTCCACCATTTACGACATTCATTTATAAAATGCCAAATAATTAATTTTATTGTGCCCTTTGAAATAAATTACATTTGACATTGTTTGATTGTCATATGACCGTGTATCGAAACAATTGTATAATTTCATGGGCCGTCAAATTTGATGGCCCATCAATTTTTTTAGCCTCTAGCAACAGTGACTTTTTTGAAATAAAACTGTTTTAGCAAATTTAAGTAGTTTCATTGGTTGCTTATAAATTGTGTCTTGACTTTAAATTTGATTTTATATAGTATTTTATTAAATTTAAAAGCATTTTTAATTTCTAAATACTTAATTTTAACAGTTTTCTTTTAAAATATTTACTATTACCTATTTAATTACCATTTCCTGTTAATTATAATTTATTACACTGTTTTACAAGGAAAAATAGAAACTTTATTTTAAATTTTTAGGGTGATTTTGGTGCGCTAAACACAAAAAACTTCATCATTTTTTTTTATTTGGGCCATTCACCTAGATGACGGTATATTTTTGTTTTTAATTTAAGATTTTACTTAAATCAGCATCGAGAGGGTATGGCAAATCCGATATATGGTTTGAAAGGTGGTAAAATTTCGCATCCAACGGTAAAAACATCGTTTTAATCGAATCAAAAATAGCTCAGTTACAGCTCATAAAAGTTCAAATTTCTTGCTAAATGGCTCCAAATCGATCCATGCAAAATATAAAAATATAACAATATGTCAGTTTTAAAAGCCAATATTTTCTTAACCATTTGAGATAAAAAAAATGTTTTAAATCATTTTTTTCCTTTTTTATGGTTATTTTAAGAGATTATATATATTTTTTAATAGGACAACTATTATACCTGAAATAACAGTTAGGTATCGGATTAATGACGACATAAAAAATTGACACATTTTTAAACAAAACACCCGATAATACACTACTGCCTTGTGTATAAAAAACTGATTTCAGATAGTTTCATCTTCCCTTCACAAAAAATCCCACGGGATGCACTATGCTCCAAAACTAAAAGTTTCACGAAATTTATTAAATTTTGACAATTGTTTCGCTACACAGTAGCTTCTTCAGAATGTATTCTGACCTAGTTAATGCTTTAAAACTTGTTGAAAAGAGAACGAATCAAAAAACGAATAATCTCTAAGTATTTCAGAGAAATTATTTAAAAAAAGTAATTAGTGAAAACATGTAATTCGCAGTCATTCTGATAAAACTAGTGGTTCATCTATTAACATGAAGTACTACCTTCTTTCAAAAACACTATGATAGTTTCTCCATATTTTCTCGAATTTTTTTGTTGACATCTATCAATTTTCACTTCATGCTCCAGATGCAGAGTTGCATCCCACCCTCTTTGCTCGCTAAAAATTTCAATTTTCTTTACATTATTAATACAAATACAAAGTTTTGTAGATCTTAAAGGGTGATTTTCCAACGGAATATATTTCGAATTGCTCACACACAGGCACCCGGGCAACAGGGCGGCATTTTTTGGGCCTTTACTTTTTCTGCGGCCATTAAAAAAATTAAACAAAAATTGCCACTACATGATTTATTTGCCTACAATTTTTTGTATGTTTATAATGAGTTTTTAAATAGAAGTGCTGCTTTTTATCTCTTCATCCCCTTCTCTATTTACTTGCTCAATGTTTAATAATTCCTTGAAGTATTCTTTCCATCGTGTCATTATATCCTCGTCTTCTCTTAATATATTTCCATCTTTGGATTTTAAGTATGTTGTTCTCTGGCTTTTCCCTTTTCCAATGTTTTTATGTACTTTGTAGAAAAGTTTTTGGTTACCTTTGCTATCTTGCTCCATCTTCTCTCCAAATTCTTCCCATGTATTTTGTTTTGCTTTTTTAAACAATTCTTTAACCTTTATTCTTTGTGTTTTATATGCATTATAGTTCTCATTGTTTCTTTTGCTTAAATACTTGATCCATTTGTTCTTTTTTGTCTTTATTTCTGCTTTTATTTCTTCACTCCACCATCTTGTCTGCTTTTTACCTTTATTTATTTTTGTTAATCCGCATGTTATTCTCGCTGTCTCGATTATTGTTTCTTTGAATATCTTCCATTGCTCTTCTAAGGTATTTATATTGGTATTTTCTTTAATTTTTGCCATTTCTATCTCTATTTTTTCTCTGTATCTTTCTGTACATTCTTTTTGTCTTAGTTTATATGTTTGTATAACTTCCTTTTCACTTTGCTTCTTTTTTTGTTCAGCGTCTCGGCAATTTTTTATTTTTACTTTTGTCATTACCAGGTAGTGGTCTGTGAATAATTTGGCCCCTCTTCTTACCCTCGTATCCTGTACTTCTTTCCTGAAGTCCTTGCCTATTATTACGTAGTCTATTATGGACCTTTCTCCCCTGTTTGCTACTTCTCTTGTTACTTCTCTTGTTATCTTATGTATTTCCTTGTGTTGAAAGAATGTATTGGTTATAATCAAATTATTCATTAGACAAAAATCAATCAGTCTTTTACCATTATTGTTTCGGATAGTTTCACCGTGTGCTCCTATTGTTTCTCCTGACTCTTCGTCTGCTTTCCCGACCCTTCCATTTAAGTCTCCTATTATAATTATAATTAATCTTCCTCTTACCTCTTCTATCGTTTCGGCCAATTTTTTCCAGAATTCATCTTTTGTCTCTGTTCTTTCGTCTTCTGACGGTCCACATACTACTATTATCGTCGTTTTGTTTTGTTTTTCCATTTCAAATTCGATCTTTAATATTCTTTCGGTGACTCCATTCCAGATTCTTATATATTTTTGGTTTTGCTGCTTCACGATTCACCCTACACCTTCCTTTGCCCTTTGATTTTGGTCAACTCCAGAGTATAATAGGATATGTCCTCTGTTTAGTGTTTTTCCCCCTTGCCTTTCTTTTTTGTTTCTGTTATTCCTAAGATATCCATGTCTGTTCTCTCTAGCTCTTCCACTTATTCGTTTTCTTTGCCTGTCAAACTCCTAACATTTCATGTGCCAATCTTCCAAATTTTATCTTTTGTTATTTTATTTTCCTTATGTTTTTTCCACTCATTGCCTTGTTCGTTGCTAGTTTCGTCTTTATTGCATCCAGCCGTGTCTCTGTTTAGTAGTTTTTTGAAATTTTTGCTACCTGTTCCGTTTGTGTTGTGCTGTTGGGTGATCTTTCGTTTGCAGTTCTTTTCTTTGCATTCGTGTCTTGTTCGTTTTTGTTTTTAAAATCTTTGCTTTCATATATTACACTGTTGATTATTAATTTGTTATATCTCAGTTGCGCTTTGTGTCCCTTTTCTCTGGCCTCTTTTAGTTTCGGTATAAGTATTTTCCTTTCTTCTTGCACCTCTTTTGTATAGTCTTCGTCTAGCCAGATTTTTTATCCTTTTAGTCCTTTAGAGTTTCTAAGTATTTCTGCCTTCTTGGTTCCTGTTGTTAGCTTCAGTACTATTGGTCTTTGTCCATCTGCTCTATATTTGCCGATTCTTTTGGCTTTATCGATATCTACTTCTTTCTTAATAGTTACGGCTAGTTTTTGTACTATTTTACTTTCGTTTTCTTTGTCTTCTACTTCTCTGATGATGATGTTTTTTCTTTTAGTCTCTCTTTCCAAGGCCGCAATTCTGAATTCTTGGTTTATTACAATATAATAAGTATAAATATATAATAAGCCTTAGATAAGGATAGCAAATCAAAACGAAAAAAGGCAAGTGAGACAGTCTATAAATAAAATAAGATTATTTATTATTATTATTAATTCTTAGTTATTTTTTAAGTTTAAAAACAAATAAAATTAAACAAAAATCAACCTAATAACTATGGTTATATTTTATCCTTTTTTCTGTAGGCAACGCCTGTTTCGCTTGCCTTTTTTTCCTTTGATTTGCTATCTTTATCTACTTTATTTTTTTGTATACACACTTTATAAATTAATTTTCTTATTAAACCAACAAATTTTGGACGCAATATTGACATTGTACAATAATTTCGAAAACATTCTATGATATGCAGGGGAATACAGTATGCATTACTTATAAACACAGCCACGCAAAAAAATATCTTGATCTAGGGACGAGTCGCATATATTTCTATGTATTTTTTTAAGCGCTTAATCCAAATCCGCCATCATAATAAGTCCAGCGAGGGTATTATTTATGTTATTTTTTTAAATAAATTTATATAGATCAGGACTTCGTAATATTACGACATTTGTTTTCATAAACATATAGGATATTTCAATAAAGCATGGACTAGTTACAATAAAGTAAAGTAAATGATATACTCTGGTATATAGGGTAATTCCACGCCAACTCAGCCAGCGCGCTGCAGCGGTTGACCCTTGACCCCTAGATTGGTTTACTTGGTGTGGAATTACCTTGTGTATATAATATAATATAATATATTAATTACTATATTATTGAACCACCAGAAAAAAACAACTATTTTATTAATCGCAAGTGGCAAAATATTGATTATTATACGTATATCTAAAGTTTTTTATCGAATATACTGACGTAAAGCCCAAAGATTTTTTTAACATAACAACTTTTGGTTCTGGTTCAAAGCCATTACAGCCCTGCTGAAAAAAAATCTAATTAAAACCATTTACGAATGAGAAGTTTTCAAACTCTGAATGGTTCTATGGGCGGAGTGTTTCCATTTCGTTAATGGGAACCAATCGGCACCCCATAAGTTAATTCTTGTTTATCATGAAAAAATTGTTGGTTTTTTAAATTTTAAAGTTTTGATTAAGGAAAAGACCTTTAGCGGTCCTTACAAAACATTAATCTTTCCGAATAAGGATTTTAATGGTTAATGCATATTATTGACAAATCGATTTAAATCGGATAATAATTATTGAAGGCGAGTTAGAAGAGTTAGAAATAATATCGATGTGAGCGCTCATGGTGAGTACCATTGTAAACTTTGAACTGTCAGTCACTGTGTGTCAATGGCCATTGTTTAAAAGTAAAAATAATTATAACTAATTTGAGAAATTTTTTAATTGCACACAAAACATGGGAAACACTTGTGTTTTAGGCTGTTGTGTTAATGGGGATTTAAGTAAAATAAAGTAAAATAAACGATACGGTGAATCAAAGCGGTAAAAAAGGATCAGTAAAACCATGATTTTACTTAAAACATATTTAAAAACTATTAACCCTCAGTAAAAGGCATTTAAAATAATAATTTAAAGCGACGGTTAATTTTTTTTTTCACTAGTTATTTTTCTACAAGCGTGCGGAAAGTTGCACTTTTCCGCTCGCTTACTTTTCGCACGCTCGAAAAGTAATTGCATGCGGTATTACTTTTCGCACGGGATTAGAAAAAATAACTATTATAATGTGTTATAAGTGTTAAAAGTCATTTTATTTTGTGAAAAGGGAAATTGGAAAGTGATCAAACCATTCGAACAAAATAAAAACATTTTTAAAATTCACATTATTCAATATTTTATTTGCAAAAACTATTAAACAGGCACTTAAATACACAAAATTAATAAATTCAAAAGTAAAGCCATACAAATACAAGATCAAGTAACTCTTAGTTACGTGGCAACCAATGTGTATTCTTGTTAGTTACGGAAAGACGCTGTCAATAACTTATAATATAAACGATTTTCTTTGGATAATCTGGAAGAAAACTATCCAAATGTGAAAATAAATGATGCAGTTAGTAAGCCACCTTCGAGTTGTTGCCAAAGAGTCCAAGGAACAGTACGAAATTGCCTATAAAAAATGTCTGCAGTGGGGCGATTTGAAAGCCGTTTCTAGAAAACACATTGAAATAGCTATTCGTGTATTAAGAGCGCACTTTGCACTCAAATTACACACAGGATTTTTTCTACAACCAGTGTTTCTATAAAGGCCGTATTACAGCCGGCAATTCTTTCGGCAATTGCAATGAAAATTGCCGTAGGCATGCTCGGTAGATACGTTTCGACGAATCTCTTGCAATTGCCGAAAATCGGTCCGGATGGATTTTTATTGCCGTTTTACGGCAATTCTGGGGTGAAATCTGGTAACTTTTATGTTACCAACCCTACTACAAATTCCCTAGAGAGACGCTGTTTGACTTAAACAGTTTAAGGTTATTTGTTTTATGATTGGCACTGTGTTCAAAGTTCTAGTATCCATTTCACTCATTAATTTTTAAATATCTCCACTAAATAACAAATAAACTTAGTGTTTACAAAATCGTATATTTTTCTTCGGTTGGTAGCAAGGTAATAAACAGCAAGTTGTCTTGCCATTGCTGACTGTAAAACAACATGCAATACCGCCTTGAAAACTTGATGGCAAGAAAAATTGCTGCAAGAAAAATTGCTGCAAGAAGAATTGCCGGCTGTAATACGGCCTTAAGAATGTATGGTAAAAATTATTGATAACTACAAATTTGACGTTTGTGTCAAAAGTCGCAAATCGCTCCTAGGAAAAGTGCAACTTTGCGCTTTGTTTTGGAAGCGCAAATTTGTACTTTTCGCTTGGTTGTAGAAAAATATATTTCTCGCATATTTTGAAGAGAAGTCCAAGGTATGAAAATCTATCTCCTTTAAGTCAATACTCAATGATTAAAGCCAAATCAAACTTCCCTACCCTCTAAAATCGAATCTTTTCTGCAATAAACTAAAAATGAAAAAATTAAGCAATTTCCTTCGATTTACTTTGTCGCGTGGCGTTTTGAAAAACGCTATCCTTCCGGGCGTGACAAATCGTGACTATCCTTCAAACCCTTTCCCTTCCCTTCCAGCGTCACCATATTTATGGACGGCCCCTAACACAATATTATGTAATACAATGACCACTGACCACATCTACATATGTCAATATCTATTAAATAATTTAAACACTAAAATTTACCAAAGTGTATATAATTAACTAATAAATTTTATTCCACCCAACGTTGGAATTAAAAGATTTATGTTTGATAAACACCAGGAATTCCTGAATAAACAAACTGGCCCTTTTTTATGAATTACAATAAAACAAAACAAGTAAACAAGGCAGGTAGTGAACTCATTCATTTAAAAATAACAAAAAAAAGTATAAACATATTGTATTTTAATATACAGGGTGTTTCTAATAAAGTAGACATACTAGAAACAGTTTTAATTGAAAAAAGTCCTGATTTCTTATTAATTGGTGAACATTGGCTACTAAATGATGATTTTAGAAATTTTCATGTAGCTCATACTGTTGCGGGATTCGGTAGGAAAACCACATTTCACGGTGGAGTGGCAATTCTCACAAATTCGGAGCATTTTTCCAAGTGCAAAGAATTAAAGGGCATAGCGGCTTCATCAGTTGAAATGAACATTGAATGTGCTGCTATTTCCATGGGTAATGATATATGTATACTAGTAGTTTACCGTCCTCCGGGAACCAATATAAAAAAATTATCGTTTGTGGAGACACAAATATAGATTTACTAACTAAAAATGCAAACACAAATACATATAACGACATCTTAAATTCATTCAACTTAAAATCCATAATAAATGAGCCGACTCGTTATGATAAACGCAAAAATTGTTCCCGAGAATCAGCTATTGACCATGTATTAACTAATATAGAGGATCATATTGGGTATGAAATTCTTCACCTTGGCGTGTCTGATCATACAGCCCAGATGATTACTTTACCAGACAAAGCATGCGTAAAAAATAATATAAAAAGAGTACAAAGACCATCGCGAACATTTTCAAATGTAAACATAAACTATTTTTAACATATTTTAAATAAAGATAATCTTTTTAACAACTCAAGCCATAACATAAATGATTATTTTAACTTTTTCTGGGAACATTTAAAATGGGCATTCGAGTGCGCGTTTCCAAAAAAATTAAAATCAGCTAAACCAAATTCAGGTAATATACAAGATCAATGGTTTACATATGATCTAAAACGAGAATCCGAAGACTTAAAATTTTTAAATAAAATTTGAAAATGTTCATCCAGTGAAGAGTTACAAAGAAGCTATAAAAAATTAAAAAAAAAACACGAGCTAAATATTAAACAAGCTAAACAAAACCACTTTAATAATTTAATAAATAAATTTGAAAACAAATCGCGCACGCTTTGGCACTTGGTCAATAAAAAATTAAATAGAAATAAAAGTAAACACGAAATAAATCTAAAAATTAACGAAACTATAACAAGAAATGAAAGTGAAATATGTAATATATTTGGGAAATACTTTGAGTCAGTGGTAAACGATCATATAAAAAACCATTGCACTTACAATAAAAACGCAATTCAAAACGAAATAGGTTCAGAACCTTTCACTTGTAATGAAATAAAAAATATTATAAAAAATATAAAAAACAAAAAATCTACCGGTTTAGACGAAATACCTGTTATTTTATTAAAAAAATGTACAGATGAATTATCGGAAATAATATGCAATATTCTAAATAAATCTATTGATTGTGAAGAATTTCCTCAAAAATTAAAAACATTCATAATAGTTCCTATACATAAAAAAGCGACCCCTTAAATGTAGAAAATTACTGACCAGTGGCTCTACTAAGTGTAATCTCCAAAGTAATGGAAAAAGCCGTGGCAAATAGAATCACTTTATTCCTGGAAGAAAATGATCTGTTTGCCGATAAACAATATGGGTTTAGAAAG